ACGGGAGTAGGAGGAGGAGTCTGTCAAGGGAGTGAAGCTGCTTGTGAGAGAAAAGCAGAAATTCCCAAACATAGGAGAGTATCATGGAGAAGTATTGCTGTGTGTTTATGTGTGGGTTTTATTCCTCTTAAGTAAATTACAATGATCACTTTTGTGAATAGTGTACTTTGTAAATAATATGCAGGTGTCTCAGAGCCTTTCATTGCCCCAGCACAGCCATTATTCTATTGTGCAAGGAGATAGGCTGCCATAGTTTCTGCTAAGTAGTTATTTTTTTAATCATTTATTGATGATTTCTAAAAGAATGGCACTTTTTCTTTTTTCTTCTGGTATGCTGCTTCTCTTGCCAGAACTATACAGTAACAAACAAGAAACAAGAAAAAAAAGGTTGTTAACCAGTATTCCACATATTCTCATATGAACCCAACACTGCCCATTCTCAGTCTCAGTAGGATGTTTGAGCTGGAAGTAACATCGAGGTGTTTGTATTTTACTGGCATTGTATATTATCTTCTGTCTTTCTGTTACTTTCAGATATCGTAGTTGATTTTATTTGCATAATGCATTGCCTTTCTTAAAAAGTAAAGAGTTTCCAAATTGCTGTTTTCTTAGAGAATGAGCTCCACCTTTATAGTTGTGCTTTATTTTGTCACCTCTCCGTATTATTACATTGGATTGTTTCCCTCTTGTGACTTCAAAATTGACTTTTTCTTGCACCTTTAACAAAATGGGATGTGGCAACTCTGGCAGTCACATGGATGTAAAATACCTGGAGGCATAACTGAGCCTTACACATTTTAAACTCTGATTATATAGTCAAAAGCAGAAAAGTTGAGCAATTAAAATATTTGCCTTGGGATTCCTGCTTTACCATCCACAAAACTCTACATGTTCATATGAGACACAAGTAATACCAGATCAGACTTTTACTATTAAATGGCTGTTATTTATTCAGTATCTTACCAAAGTGTGCTTCTCTTTGGAATAACTAATTCCAGCCTATGGCTGAGCTGTTTCTGTCTACTCCTGTAATAGGTGTTTCTCTTGGAATATATTGTCTCTGCTAATTTAAGAATTATTTATTCTTCTGCAAGAACATTTCTCTTTGGTTTTGGGGTAATTCATTGTATTATACAAAGCATGTAGGTTTTTTTGAGGAAAATGTTACAGTCTTTGTAAGAAGTGGCTATTAGCGTGTTCTGACATTTAAAGACAATTTTTTAGAAGTTGGTTGTGTGTCAGAGTAGAAAGCACAATCCATTGTGAAATCAGTCATGGACCTAAACACCTTGAGAATATTCTTTTCAGGGGCAAAAAGAAGTTTTCCCTCCTCTGCTTATGTAGCTAAAACCACATAGGGCCAAACCTGTAAAGCTTAAAAGGAGAAAACATTGCAACACTTCTAACTTCAGTTTCTGGGAGAGTAGGAGTACGTACTTAAACTTGCACGTGAAGCAAAATAAAACTTGAAAGGTCAGGGACTGTCTATTTTTGTTTGGATTTTGGGGGTTTGGAGGTTTGGGGTTTTTTTCATATGATTAACTTACAAATTTGGATTTTTATAGGCAATTGGAACCTGAAAAGCCAACCGCTGTCAGTGTCCCACAAAAATATGTAATAGATTCGTTTCTTAGGAAAACTGAACTCGATTGCCAAGTGTATCTTATTCTTTACAGCATGTCAGGATATGTAGTGGTAGGAAGATCTTCTTGCACATGGCTGACTTCTTCCCTTTGCACTGGCACACCGCTACCTTCACTCTTGTGTCCCTTTTCCTCTACACCAGATAACTCCAGAAGGTTTCATAATGAATTGCTGAAGATCATCTTCACTGGGAGAACTTTACCTCTTCCTGATTCGTGTCTCTTATGCATTCTCTGATCCAGATAATCCAAAGCTGCAAAGGATAAGATGATCATTAATACAATAAGTAGATACCGAGTGAAAATGTAATTTGATGTTATTCCAAAATATATCTGTGTCCAGCTTTTGGATGCTTGCAAGCTTAATGCCGTGTTCTTTTTCTTCACTTCAGAATCCCCATTGAACTGGAATTTGGATTGTCTTGTCTTGTTTGCTTTGACTTTTTTAATAAGATCACTTTGATAAAGACATGGTGACATCTGAGTTACCAGACAAGATGATGATGTGTTTGTAACAAGTGAAAGTAGCTCTGCCCCCAAATACACCTGTTTATTTGGAGTCACCAAAGTGTATTTGTGTCCCCTACAGTGCTCCCCCCACGGGACCCTGTGGGAGGTCTGTGTGTTGCTGCTGTAAGGTAGGCTGTGTGTAACAGGTGAGCCAGCACTGAAAAGGCATTGATAGTTACACAAGGAAGTAAATCTAGACCTTTGTTGAATTGGGGTGTTCCCAGCTGCTGAAAAGTGATTTTTATAGTCAAAGTGAGAAGGGTACTTCAGAATACAGGCATGGTGTGGCTGAGCAGCGATTCGTCTGGAAGGCTGGAAGCAAGTAGCCATGTTTATGTTTTGTTCTGTCTAAGATCTGTTGATCTTAGTAAGATCAACATCTTACTAACAACATCAACTACCCAAGATCTTGTAAAATTTATTGTCTAAGATCTTCTTAGGTGTACACATACTTGATATTTTTGGGGGTATTTTAATTGATGAAAGGGAGTGAGGACTCCCCTTTGAAAAAAAAAAAAAAGTAACTTTTTAAGGAAAACCTAATTATATAATTTTGGAATAAGGAACAAATGAAGAGTCTTTCCATGCAATTGAGTTAATATTACTAACTATAATTTCAAAAAGAAGAAATGTGATACTGTAATACAGGTTTTAAAACCAGCTAGGGTATAAATGGTATTTATGCATAAGCTCATCCCAGTGGATTCAAAGGAGACTCGAGTCCAAAGTGTGACAAATGTTTCCTAATCATTATAGCCCAGCAGTGGAATGTTTTCCTTCGGCCTGGCTGCAGGTACAGGTACATTCAAGTTAGAATCATGCAACTGTAGAACAGCTCAGCTTGGAAGGGACCCAGAGAGATCATCTGGTCTAACCTTTTATGGGACAGGGAGACTACATGAGATTATCTAGCACCCTGTCTAGTTAAATCTTGAAAACCTTCTACAATGGGGACTCTGCCATGTCCCTGAGATGATTGGTTCAGTGATTGATTGTTCTTGCTGTGAAAAATGTTGGTCTTACATAAAGATGAAACCTCCTGGTGCAACTTGTACCCATTGCCCCCTTGGGCTCCAAGTTACTTCTTAATTTCTGGTTGCTCCTGTTCTGTTTGGCAGAAGAACATGTGCACCAGTGTGGATAAGTAGTTTTTACCATACCGGTTGCATAAGTACTTGCACACCACATCATATGTGTCAGCTTTCTTTAAAGATACATTTGAAAAAAATAAAACTAGAGGAGGTTTAGGCAAACTTTGTATTCACCTTGACCGCCATTTTTACACAACAGTATGAATATTGAAAATTTAGCTTTATGAAACAAGTTGCTGTTAAGATACAGACTGTTTATATGCCTTGACCTGGAGAACATGCCCAAAAGAAACTCCGTGTCCCTCACATTGCCCTCTGAACGGGCGCTGCAATAAACCTTGCCTTGGGTATAACGAGCTGTGATGCTGGTTATTCTGAAGGTATGATACAATAACAGATTATTGTTGCCTAGACCTGTGTAATCATTGGAACTCCCTGATCGTACTTTCCATTTTACACGTTGTCAGAACCTTGGACCTTAATCTTGCTCTTTGATTGGCAGCTGCAGCTGGGGAAGGAGCACTTGTATTGTTTGTGAGAGTCGCATCTGTTCAACTTGATTCAGCTTGAGAGTATTTGCATATTCTTAAGTATTTCTTCTGAGAGGGCCTAAATCCTTCTCAAGTGTTTGATGCATTTTTGAAATTCATTCATAAGGTATCTACATGCACTAATAGTTCTGTATAATATTGCTGTGCATAATCTGTCAGATAAGGCTAGTTTTTTAAACAAGGTATTCTTTGGGGATGACATATTACATTCTGACTTATTCTACTGGGCGGAAATGTCAAGTACTTTCAAAAAGGATGCTTGAATGTTTTGATTGAATTAGTATTCTTTATTCAACACAAATTGTCAACTGCAGTAAAATGTAGTCTTATTGTGAGAATGTTTTTCAAAAGAGTTAACAGCAGGGCTTTTTTGTTTTATTTTTTGTTACTGGAGCTTTTATTGCATATAATCGTTCTTTTGCTGCCGTTATTAGATGGAACAGGAGAGTAGATTCTTAGATGTATTTTAGATTAATTTGTTTGAATTGTTAAACCGTGGGCAACACTTTTATACTGAAATACAACTCAGGCTTTTCAAAGAAAACTTTGGCTATTATTTTCCTCTTTTCTTGCCCTTTGTTTTTTCCTTGCAAAATTTTTAGCAGTATTTTTGGAAGATCTGTCAAATTTAATTTCAGAAACCTGTCACTCTTTATAGTGCATGCACAACACTAATGAGAAGTACCACTGCTTTGACAAATATTCAGGTGTTACATTTAAGCATTGAACACAATCTAGATGAGCTCATACCACTGCGTAAAGAAATATATGCGTGGTTGAAACCCATGACTTCCATAGGCTGGAAGTCGTAATCCAGAACTATCCTAGTTTGGACAAAACTACTCCAGTTTGCTGTGAGAAGAAAATGAAATATATTTCCACTAGTTTAAAAGGATGTGTGCTGTGGATGCTACTTCAGCCTCAAGTCATTAAAGACATAGGATCGCATATGGAAGACCACTACCCATAATGAACAACCTTTTTTTTTTTTTTTCAATTGCATTAAGAAAGATGCACCACCATCAGTGGCTGACCTATTTTAAGAAATGGTTTTCTGTCTCTAGACAGGGCCATAGCAATGTCCACTGCCTGTGTACTTGAAAAAAAGAATGACAGGTTTAATAAGTGTATTTTTTGTTTTGTGCACATGCAGGTTTTAGTGTAACAGACCTTTTACATTAGTTTTGTTTTTCTTTTGCTTTCAGGAATCTCCTTCTGGACGTAGAAAAGCACTTGCCACCAGCAGCATCAACATGAAGCAATATGCCAGCCCCATGCCTACACAGACAGATGTCAGGTTAAAATTCAAGCCTTTGTCTAAGAAGGTGGTATCTGCCACACTCCAGTTCTCGTTATCTTGTATTTTCCTGAGGGAAGGAAAAGCCACGTAAGTTGTTGTTTGTTGGTTGGGTGTTTTTGTGTTACTTTTCAAAGTGCTTTGTGTTACTTTTCAAAGAATTCTTTGGATAAAGAGGTCTTTCTATATAGATGGCAGAATTTGAGAGAATCCTTCAGCATACTTATCATTCCTGCCGTACTTAGTTCCTTGACTGGGTAGAAGTCGTTTCTTACTCTGATTTCAGTCTTGTGTTCTTCAGAGACAAATCACTTGTGCACTGATTACCACTCCCTTGAATTGCTCACTTGGTTCTGTCCCTTATTTCAATGGCTTTTGAAGGGCAGAGGTTACGGATTGATTTTGCAGATCCTGTAACCTCTCCTGCAATTTCTGTCAGATTCCAGATGTCAAATGTTGACAACTTCATGTGCATGGAGAACGGATTGTTTGTCACCCATCCTTTTTCCTTTTAGTCTCTAGAATATGGCAGTGTGAGAATGGCAGTACAAAAAGAGGTAGATGGGGAAACTACTGCTCTAGTAGTTCTACCTCTTTTCAAATTTCTTTTTCCCCCCAAAAGAGTAACAGTTTACTTCCAGCTTTCAGTGTTCTGAATGCATCTTGTAGACATTGCCTACTGCAATACCATACCTCAGAAATGTTGCATAAGCAGCTTTCCAGGCTGCCTTGTTAAAACTTACATTTGGACACTAAAAGGCTTTTTGTCTGCATGCTTTGAAAGCCACAGATGCATTAATTACTATTAATTACTATTACTGTTTCCCTTCACTGATTAACCTGTTGTGAAGCACATCTTGACATATCATATAAGGATGATGCTTTGAAGTATTTAGCTTGTGATTTAACATGGTTAAAATGCAGCTGAAAATGAGAATGGAACAAATCAGTATCTGATAGCCTCTTTTTTTGAACAACCAGCATCCGTGAACTATACAGTGAATAGCTATACTAGGCTCTTAGTGGGTTTTGAGGCCATAATGTGTAAAAGCTGATCCATTTAAGCTCACATGCAGCTTTTCCCATTGGAATTGGTACATTTCAGGCTGAAGATTGTAAGTCAGGTAGATTGTAAGTTACCAACAGTGCTTTCATACTTTCAGTGCCCTGAACCAGAGACCTGAAAAAGCTGTTATTTGTGAAAGCACTGGTTTCCAGTATGTGTAAATAGACACTGTCCTACTAATGGTTTTTTTGTCTTGTTGATGATTTCAGATATTTAGTAAAGGAATTTTAATTTCTATAACAGCATCAGGAGTTATAAATGAATGTAGTGATAGGTATTGCATGCAACATATGGACAGTAGGTCTGGGCAAGCATTTTCCCTTTAACCAAAGCAGACCAGAGAAGCATTTATCAGCCTATCTGGGCTCTTTTAAAATTTTAGGAAGCAGACATTGAATTGACTCTTAATGCAAGGCAGTATTATTTTTAGCCTTTAGAAATGTGTTAATAGAAAACTTTCTCTTCAGAAATTAATATACATGAGTGTGTTCATTTTGTTATTTCACTGTATTCAAGATCAGATCTGAGATCATAGACCTCCCTGAAGAAAACATCAAAATATTTACAGAATTTTTAATAATGTGGTAGTATCAGATGTGGTATTAACAGGCTGCATTTTAATGCCTGGTATGAAATTTGTTATTTAGGGATGAAGACATGCAAAGCCTGGCTAGTTTGATGAGTATGAAACAAGCTGATATTGGTAATCTAGATGATTTTGAGGAAGACAATGAAGAAGATGAAGAAAACAGAGTGAATCAAGAGGAAAAGGCTGCAAAAATTACAGGTTGGTTTTGCCACAGGCATGGTAAATTATAGTTTCCTTTGCTAATTGTAAGCTGTTTTCCATGAGTTTTATCCTTATTTGTGTTTAACTTTAAAAAAAACCCTACCAAACAAAACAAAATTTAGGGTAGCTTGATTGAAGAGGAACCCATCCATAACTCAACAAAGTTTAATATTTGTGAATTTAAGATTGATTTCTGTATGTGTGTGCTGGTTTTGGAAGAGAATGCACTAAGTAGGTAGTATTTTAGGGAAGCAAAGAACCAGTGTGAACAGAGGAATAGAAAAAGCGGAGGAAAAGGGTCAGTGAGTGAGAAGACAAGAGGGATAGGCTCGAGTGAAATAATGAACACAGTTTATGAGAATAACTGCGAAATGAGTTGTGCCATGGACAGATGCTGAGGTTCTGCTCAATAACATGGCAATTCCAGGCAGCAGACTTCTGCCTTTTGGGGGGGGGGTGTCTCATGGAAATGAAATTGAGAGTCTGTTAAAGGACTTGAATGGAATTTGAAAATAAGGTTGTTTGAAGTGAGATAGTGTAACCACATTTGAATTGCTGATGCAAATGCTTAGTGTGTCCAGGATAGCTGAACTAATCGATGCAAGTCAGATCAGGATGAGATGGTGTTAAATTGTTGGTAGAGATCAGTATGTAGTACTGCTCCAGGTGAGTTCTGTAGGAGCTCTTAGTGTAAAGATCAGGAAAAGAAAATTAACTTCTGGTGCCAGACTTCATAACTTCCAGTGCTTTTTAAAAATATCAGAAATAAAGGGATCCTTCTCTAAGATGGGGAAGAGTAGCCCGAGCAGAGAAGTGAATTGTCAAATCTGTTCTTGAAAATTCAGAGGAACATTGGTTTGGCATTATGAAACATTGCTTTCATCACTTCTTTTTGAGCTTTCGTTGCAATCAAAAGGTTCAGCCTGAAGCAGTTATTACTTAGTTACATTTAGTGTTGTGAAAGGATGCAAATATGTTTTCTCTATGCTTTACATATTCAATTAAACATTTGTACCCTGACCAAATCTTTACTTATGCTCTATGTGTCTGGCACAGAACAGATTGGAAAGTCCAGAAGGAAATATTTGAGAGACCAAGATAATGTACTCTTGGTCAGGGAGCAGTGATATACCAGTCTGGTCGCACTGAAATTATCCTGCAGAGTTGACTCCTTTCCCAGTGTAACCAGAATATTTCAGATCAGAATACCAAACAAAACCTGACATGTTCATCAGGCCCCATGGGATAATCAGAGAAGGGCAAATAAAGGAGAGGCAATGTAAAGTCTATAGAAACTACTGTGCACAAGAGTTTTATTTAGATCTGCCTGGATACTGCACTGAGGACTGCTACAGAAGACCCATATGCAGAAGAACAGCAGCTGAAAAGCATCAGATCTTGTTTCTCAATGTTATTGATTTTGCCAACAAATGACTCCTGAACAAGCAATAAGTTTAGACTAGTCCACTATCCTTTGGCTATGGAGTGAACATCCCTGGAGGTAGATGGGGAAGGAGGAGCTGTCTGATGTGCAACACAGTGTCCTCACTCAAGTTGTTTTGGAGTCATTTCAGCTTTTCCATCTGTTGTTGCAAAGGCCAAAATTATCTGTTCTAAGCAAACAGTACAATACCTACTTGAAATACTTCTGAAATACACTTTTTCTGCACATTGCTCAGCCTGTTCTGATACTGTTTTCCAATGATTCAAGATAGGAGGGTTGGGTTGTTTTTTTTGTAGATGAATCATTAAGGAAACCTGAGGAGGGAAATGTCAGCCTTGGATTTTTCTTCTTATGTTGGCTACAGTAGCTGAGTTGCGTTTTCCCACCTTAGACAAGGTGAAGGATGTTGAAGGGGAATGAGTGCACGTAGTTTCCCAAGCAAATGGGAGAACATAAAACATAGGGCAGTAAGTAAACGTTAATAAATAAACTGTAAAGTATCTATTTCAACATGTGTTTGAGATTGATTTCATAGGCAGTTAGAATGACTTCTGTAATAAATGTAATGAATGGGGAAAACTAATAATGCACAGGGAGAAGAGCTGAGGAACCAAGAGAGAAAGAGGTAGGAATCATTGTGGGAAAACTAATAATGCACAGGGAGAAGAGCTGAGGAACCAAGAGAGAAAGAGGTAGGAATCATTGTAGAAAAACAGGAGGAAATATAGAAGAAAATGTAGAAATTTGTAAGAAAAATTTAGAAGGAAATGTAACAAAGCCGATGTAGCGAAGTACTCTTTCTAAAATTTCTTTCAAAAATAGTGTTCACACAATGCCATAAAGTTAATTGAGGAAGTTACATAACCCTTTTGAAAGCTTGCTGCTACCAACGTTTTCTCCTCTGCTGCTGTGTTGGTTGTTGGCAACAAGGAGCCGGAATGCTTCACTGACTCAGAGTTCCCTGCGGCAAATCCCTCACCTCGGTGCGCCTGTTTTCCCAACTGTAAAATGGCTATACCACTTCACAGGAACCATGGCAGCATTGCATGGTTAACGTTGGCAACTGAGCTTTGAAAAAGTTAAGTTCAAGTAGCAAAGCAGAAGGGATTGTTCTCCTACCTTTGGCTCAAGGTTTTCTCACAGAAGCGATGGATGACTTGATGACTTAAAAGTTGTCGTTGTCAAGGCACAGCTGCAAGAGGTGCTGCAAATCTTTTATCGCAGACACTGTTCCTTCTAGCAGTGTGCAAAAGTTTTGTTGTTTTTGTTTGTGTTTTTTTTTTTTTTATTGGGCCCAAAGTTACAGTGTTACAGGTGGACATTTATATCCACTGCTAGGAGAACAAGGGAAATCTGCTGTATGGGGCTCTAGATGGTGCAGGCGAGTTAGGAAATGCTGCTTCTCTTCCTTGATGTGTTGCTCAACTTTGAGTAGGTATCTGTGCTCCTGTTTTCTTCAGCTGTGAAATAGGTGGTGCAATTCTGACTGACCTTAAAAGCACTGTGGAATTTGGTGTGGTCAACATGGGAGCTGTTGCCACTTCAACTGACCTTAAGATCAGACTGAAAGTAGTTTTTTAAGTACTATGTTAATTTAAAGAAATTCCCCTCCATCTCAGGCTTTTCTCCTCTTCCTTCCCAGTCGTTCGTGTTTAAATTTTTCATGTGTAAAAGCGGTATATCCACCTGACTGTTCTGCTTTCTGTGAAGCTGAAAATTGTGTTTGTCACCATGAATTTAGTTTCAAATATTTTGTTTCTACACTGTTAATATAGATGGATTTAAACCTCCCAGAATTATCTGTCCTTAGTCTTCAGTTGAAGACAAGGCATCCCAACATACCTGAAGAAATGTGCCTCATAACTCACAAACAGGGTAGTAATAAATATGTTGCTTCTCTTAATGTTTTAATTGCTACTTAGAACCTCGTGCTGAAGTTAATAGTTGCCTGCTGCTCCATCTGCCCAGGAGCACAGTGACTGTCCTGAGGCACCACATGGAATCAGCAACATGCCCATGTGCTACCTATTACAGGAATCTGAATCCCAGCATGTTTCAAGAGCAGGCTTCTGGACAGCAATATGTGTAACCCTTTCTTGCAATTTGCAAAACCATCCCTCTGAAGTAAACTTCTGATACATTTACTCTTTTTTGTCAGGATCACCAAGCTGCTTTAAAAAAAAAAAAAAAAGAAAGAGAAGAATGAAAAAAAAACCAAAATCCAAACCAGTGATTTATGTGACATACTTGTAGAACAAGCTAATGTATGTTTGTAGATAATGAGATTTATAAAAGATAATATGGGATATAAATCTCCAACCTACCATTTCCATACTCCAAAATATTACATAAACCATTTAATATTGTAATGAGAAACATTGTAGTGCATATGGGTGTTTAGGTTGGCAGATAGGACCAGGTGATTCAGACCACATCAAAGAACTCCCTCTTTTTAAAGCTCTGAACTTAATTTGTTATTTTCTGACAATAAAAACTGAATTGTAATTGTTTTGGGGTTTTTTTTCACATGCTGTCATAATAGATTGTAAATCATGTCAGCATCTCAGCCTGTTTTAAACTAGTAATTCGTTAGTACTACTGTTTTATGAGGTCAGCTCTGTTTTATTTGAGTACAGGAAGGTATTTTCCATTGTCTATCTTGAGTCCTAAAAATTCCCAGAAGGTAGTATTGTACTGTTCAGATCTCTAAGGTGTATATATGGTTTTATACTGAGAAAGCTAAGTTTTGGGGCAGTTTTGGTGTTATTTTTTAGGATCAGAGTCTTGTTTGTCGGAGCTAAAAATAAGGCACTGAGGATGGTTGAATTAACTCTATGTAGACAGATAGAAGTGTAATCACATGTAAGTAGATTTGTGCTTTAAGGTCAGGAACAGTTAGAAGGTGTGTTACAGAGGAATTATGCTGATGGTTTGTCACTGTCAGCATATAGTAGGTCCAATAGGTATTGGCAGAGTAGATAATTTTTCTTGGTAATTTGCATATTGGCATATCTTTGTAAAGCAGTTTGAATTTGGCAAGGAAATTTTTGACCATATGATGGAAATATTTTCAGGTTCTGGACTGCTTTGGGCTTTAGGTTCTTTGTGCTGTCCGTGAAGGCATGAAATTAGGAATGGTGTCAGTGCCAACTATGAAAAAGCATGAAAAAGGCCCCTCAGCCAGGAAGTTCTGGGTGGCTGTGGGCACCAACACGAGTTGGGACAGTTGTGATACTACTCAATTTTTACCTCAGTTTGATATTTTGCTCCCTGAAACTAGTTCAGCAAATAAAGATGAACTTTTGCTTTCTCAAACAAAAGCCAGATGAGAAAAAGTTTAAAACAACAGCGAACTAAAAGTGGTACTAAGAAGTAACTTTTTGTGTACACAAGAAATTGAAATGTAAAGGAAATACAAGAATGACTGGCATGAGAAGTGTGCAGTAAAGTTGTCTACATAGCTTTGACTTCACTGGTGACACCCAAAGACATCATCCCTTTATTTCATTGGGAAAAAACAGGAGATGGAAAAGACTCTTAGTGGGGCAGTGATATTCAACAAGCAGGATCATCTCTTCTGCACAGGTTTCTCCAGCCTGTTTGTCAGCTGGAAGGATGAGTACTGGTGTCCCCTCTCCACAGAAACCTGTGCTTGATGTCTCTCAGACATGCCTCAGGCTCAGTCCCCATTACTACAGAAGCTGCATTTGTCAGATGCTGAGGATGGGACTGCATTAGGGGCTAGCAGAGAGGAATTTTTCCCCTTGGGCCTTAAGCCACTAAGACCTAGTTGGTTTTTTTTTTCTTTCCTTCCAGAATTGTGGAGGCATCAACAGCTTGGTTATAATTAAACTTTAATATGTTTTAAAAATTACTAGTTCATGGCAATTCAGACCTCTCTACTATGGATAGAAGGTGAAATAGGATTTTGCCAAACAGTAAGGTGTTACTTACATAGCATGACAGTGAAAATTCAACCAACATCCATATATTCAGTTTACATTCTCATAGCAAAATACTGATCATATATTTTAGAACTACTTAGATAAATTCAACTTGTCATAGATCAGAATTTAATGGTGACTAATTGTAAATGTTAAATAATCAGTGTATGTGTATAAATAAATATTTAAAATGTATGTTGTATATATTAGTTTTCTGTAGCCTTAAGAGTTTGGGAGGGATGTAAATTTTCTGGGCCTGTTTTGTGTTGATTGACAATGTTTTAATATACAGGTTTTCTTCACAAGTAGGAAAAGTCTTTAAATTATATCTAGTACATGGATCTAAGTTTTGAACTGATGTGCATACTTGTCCTCATAAAACTAATTACTGTTGCTGACACCAAAAATCTAGGTTTTGTTTATGTCTGTTAACTGGGTTTCACGTTAAATTATCACTGAAGCACCTACACAGGTACTTTGCTGTAGTTATATAATTGTGAGGACTCGTTCTAAATCTCTTCTTTTAATTAACTCTAAGTGTCTTCTCTTTTGCCCTCTCTCCTTCGCTCTCTCTCTCTCTAGTAACAGTGTTCCACTTCTGTTTCATTAAATGCCCTTGCCTTACGTTTGTCTTGACTGGCTTCTATTTACAGAAATTGTAAACCAGTTGAATGCTCTGAGCAGCTTAGATGAAGATCAAGATGACTGCATAAAGCGAGCAAATATGCCTTCAGCTAAATCAGCCAGTTCCTCTGAAGGTCTATGAGCTTTCATCCTTTCTTTCTGTTTCTGATTGTATTTACTGTGACCCATTACCTTTTGACTCCTGCCTGTATTCAGCTGTCAGTTTTATCTCTGTGCTTCCACCCAGCATGACTCTCAGTAATTTGTAGTGCATCCAACAGGTAACAACATGATAGAGAAAGAGCCTGTCTCCGCTACAGCTCCGTTGTCATCTGATAATGAACAAGAAAGAAAAAAAATTAAAAAAAAAAAAAAGTAAAAAACCCGCACTAGACCCTAAGCCTAAAACATTAGTTTTATAGTCAGTAATACCTGACCTCTCCAACGTGACAAAATGTCCCCTCTCTGCTTTTATGTTCATGTTACATCCAAAAATTTAAAATTTCCTGCCGATAGTTAACATGTATTCGTAGAACCAAAATAACTGTATTTAGCTTGTTAGATGTTCTGCAACATTTATTTAATGAAGAAAATAAAATACTTTCTTAGTAGTTATTTCTGTTACATAATATCCTGATCAGCAAATAGATATTTCATTCATTTCACTTTTTTTTTCCCTTTGTTGGTGTACCTACTGGAGTGTGTTAATTTAGTCGTGCAGTTCGTGCCATACCCTGGTGCAGTGTTTCAAGGAACTGTTGACAAGGAGCTTTTTGAGCTTCAAATACATTAGATGAACAGTTTGTATCTATATTAAAACAATTTTCTAACTTGTTTGTAGAGCTTATCAATAAGCTTAATTTTCTGGATGAAGGGGAGCAAGACCTGGCCAACTCCAGCACAAACCCTTTTGGTGATCCTGATGCAGCAGAATTGAATCCATTTGGAGACCCCGATGTAGAAGGTAATGAATTTGTTTTACTTAATTCATCGCTATTTGCAAATGCTTAGTGAAACATGATTTGTATTTCTGTAGGACTACAAATGAAAAATTTTATTTTGATTAAATAGAATTGTTGCATGCAGCACTGAGGTAGCAATAGCAGTGATCCAGTTGCCACTGGAAAATTGGTTTATCCTTTGAGTCTGATGCTTTGTATTGAGGTACATCCTGTATATTTGCCACTGGGGGCTACCAGCTGAACCAGAGACTTTTGGACCTGTCAGGTGTGTTACTTGTAGTCTACTCATGTGGTATGAATGAGCAACACACACTGTCAAAACACACACTGTCAAGCGACTCTATTCCACGTGGGTGATGGCTAATATCATAATTTCTTTCACTGCAATCTTCACTGCATCACAGATATTCTTGGTTAGCACTAATCTTCATTATTACAATTTAATTTTCTCTCTTTTCTTCTTCCTTTTTTTTTTTTATGTTTTTATGGCTTCCTCAGTTAAGCCTCCTGGCATCGTGCCTTGCGCCACATGCTAGGTGTTAATCCCCTTTCCAGACTGACATGCCCATTCTTGTTCCATTTGAGTGAGATATACAACCCCTGTAAATTTCTAATCTGATAAGATTTCGGCCGTAAGGCCAGAAAGGAGCACCAGGACAGCAAGTATCTCTGCTGTCCTCAGCTCCATGCTCAGATATGCAGGCTCCCATCTGCTGGCTTGCAACTGCTCGAAAAGCCAATTCGTAGTTAATTCCCAAGTTTGAAGCTGTACTCAGCCTTTCCTGTTCAAAGCTCCAAGACTTTTCTTCCTCCAGAAAATACCAAACCACTCTGTCATGGCAATGAAGAAGTGAGTGGGAGCAGTCCAGGGTGCAGCCATGGGATTTCTAATGCCAGGTCTAATGAGGATGCACTTCTGAGCTGCAGTTTCCACCTGTGGTTTCTCACTTTCTTTGGACAAGCATAGTGTTTACTCACAACAGAGTTTTTCTGCCTTCAGACTCCACAGAGGCCAATGTGGGTGGTGATCAAGTCCTGTCATACTTCGACTGTGGTGTAGTCTCACAACTTGTATTTCTGAAAGAGGGATATTGCCCTGTCTTCTGTATTGAGCCACTGAAGCTGTAAAGTCACTATCCTGGGCACCTTCTCCCTCCTATAAAGTTGTCAGATGTTTCTGGAGCTGCAGAAGTGAGTTGTTTCATCTTTGTAGGTACCAATATCTATGGATTAGGTTCTGGTGTCCTAATCTTTGGCTTTGTTTCCTGTCTGTTCCTTGACAGTGAATTCTCTTAGGATCATGGAAGGAGGCAGAATAACTAGGAATATAAATCACCTATTTTCACACATCTAGTAGTCCACACACAACTTGCTCTAAGAGACTCAGCCTATATTCCTTTCTCCTTTTTCTGCTCTAGAAAGAAGAACTCTCTTCTCCATGGAGAAAGCAGTACAAGTCCCATCCTGCCTAAACTGCTGTCTCCCAAACCCAGCTTTTCTTTCCTTTCCAGAGAGAACCCATTCTGGCAGAAAGCAGTGGGTGTTCTGGTCACAAAATACAGGGGACTAAAGACTCAATTCTTTCTCATTTTAGGGACAGAGAATTATAAACTGGTGTTGTTTCTTAGCACTGGAGTAGCTTGATACCTCATGGCAAGCTCAGTATGAGCAGCCTGCATCCAAAACAGCAGCCAGCTTATGTTCCTAATACACTCTCAGTGATTGAGGGGCATGTATTTTTTCAGTTGATTCCGGTTCTTTTGGTGACATCTAGCCTATACTGTCATCCTCAGTCATAGTCATCGACACTTTTCCATTTTTCTGGGTCTGCCTCTGATCAGACTGTTGGGTCTCGTCTTCACAGCTGTGGGCAGCAGTGCTGAGTTGGGTGTGTGTGTACCAAATATTCCTCCCACACACTGTCGCTGTCATGCAGCAGTCAACGTACAATAACATGACAGCGATTGTGACAAACAGGGTGTCACTAGATTCTTCCCAATGTGTCATAAGATGTTTTTTTATTTGGGAGGGATGCACCTTCTGTCAGGCTCATGTGACAATAGTATGTCTTCCTGGAACACTAAAGCAGATTGGAAGATCTGAGGGCTTCCAGGCTATCAGGCAAAGAGTGGGACATCTGGTGTGGCATTTTTAAAGCTTTTACTGTATGGTTAGTGGCTCCTCAGGGATTCTTCTGTTCACCTCAGACACCTCTGAGAAGCACTGGGTCTTCTGCTCCAGACCTGTAATGAGCACTGGTTGTGTTCATCTCCCCTTTCTTGGCCTTCTTGGCATATGCCTTTTCTCCAGTCCTTCACAAAAAGTTGAGGAAGGGAAAAAAGGGTGCTGAATAAAAATAGAGATGAATCTTCAGTAACAGCAGGAATCTGCTGTGTATGTCTATGGCTAATTGGACCGATGTCTACATGGGGAGCATCAGGACCTTACCATTTTGGGGAGATTTACCTTTGGTTTGGACTACATTTTGAACTATACAGTATCATCACTGTTCTCATCCTGTTGCCCAACTGCAGAAGGCTGCCCCTGTTTGTTTCCCATCATTCACTCATGGTTTAAGACATTCCTTCTATTTTGAGACCTCAGTGGAACTTTCATTTACTGACATCTCTTTCTAGGAAACTCTTTGAGACTATGCCTGCTTGTTTGCTTTTGTATCCTTAAGGGAATGTAACCTTTTTAGTGGCCACCCCAGAAGCTCAGAGAGCATGACAGAGGTTCAGGAGTTTAAGACAGACTTTCTCCTACAGGCTTAAAGAGTCACATTACTTGTTTCACTTGTCTTGTGATCTGCTTAAATCAAGAGATTAACCTTTTATGCGTGCAGGGATGAAGTATTTTTCTATTCACTACATGTTAGTCTCTTTATCTTTTTATCTGGACAAGGCTTAATCTGGAATTCAGACTTTGCGAAAGTTCAGAGTCTTCTGTAGAATTTGTTACTTAATTTCCCCAAGATGTGCAGAGCAGCCAGCTGGAGCCTCCTTTCCTGAGTACTTTGCCATCAGATGCGAGGAGGCATGATGTGCCATTTGGCAAAGATATTCCAAGGATATTCCTATCAAGCCTGTACCGTGTGTGCTTGGAGTCACTCAGGGGTATGAATATGTATGTATTGACAGTCACTCAAAAGGAAAGGAGGATTACTTGCCAGTAGATACTTGTTTCCTAGACAGATATTTCTTGTGCCTGCTCACAAACCAGCTACTTTCCCTCTATCTTCCTAATCCCATAATCATCTAACCCTGGGAATGCAAGGTGGAGAGAAACTAAAGGCGTGAGCACTCCCAGCATCCGTGTGCACACTGTGGGTGTGGTGCGTGGCAGAGGGTCATCAGCAAGCTGGCTCTAGATGCTGCTGGGATGTAAAAAGTCCTTAGTGTAAATGGTCTTATACACACAATGGAGTGAATGTGCATATGAAAAACTCACCTCAAAAAAATCTTCAGGTGTGTTTCTTGGTTGACATGTCAAATTGAGGTTTATTCCCTCTGTATCTAGTAGGTCAGCTAGACATTAGAAATCTGGGAAAATCAAAAATAATCTCTTTGAACAGTATATCTCTGCAGCTTTATACTAGACAAGCAGTAGATGATCATATGAAGACTACCTTTTGGATTTTTAGTCATAGTAGAACAGAACTCTAAAATCAGTTAATTTCTGTGCAAAATATTTACTTGGGGAGGTCATCATCTACAAAAAATGCAAGTAGAAAACAACAACACACTTTCAGCACTCCAGATATTTAAGTAGGTGGGGAATACAAATTTTGAAGTTGTATATGACCAATACAAGTTTCCTTCAACACACTCGAGACACAAGGCGAACTTTTTGCTGGCACCCCTTGCCATTTTAGAACAGCATTTACTTCACCAGTGTATTTCTTTACCTTGTGTGTGGACTTCTGAGCTCCCTGCAGCATGTAAACTGTCACAATGCAGCATCAAACTCAGAATCTTTCTAGGATAGTTCTACAGAGAGAGCAGCACAGGAACTAATAGAGAGGAGAACTAATAGAGACAGAATAGACTCTGTCCCTTCTCCTGTTTCTTATAGAGTGGAGAACTAAGAGTGGAGAACTAATAGAGACAGAATAGACTCTGTCCCTTCTCCTGTTTCTTACTGAAAAGTAATGTGAGTGTGTAATAAAAGACACAGAAAATCATCAGTGGTTTGTGGGCATGCCAGTCGTGATGCTTTCTAGAAGTCCTGGGCAGTACATTTTTCCCCTGTGCTGTTTGTCAGGCTGCTCACATCCCCCCGTGCCTGTGCTCCTGCCGGTCGGGCAGCCGGTGGCGTAACTGAGTATCTCTCACATGTGGCTTGTCCTTTCATCCTCTGCCAAGGGGAAAGTGGTATGTGTGATGTTTTGGTGGAGGTTTTGTTTGGTTTTAAGGGACGTGTCACAATATGTTTGCGTTACAAAAGGCAAGTGGGTTGAAGGGCAGGGTGATTTTTGGAGGTGCTCTGGCTGATTGTGCAGATAGGTAGTGCCAGAGTGATTACTATCATAAGCAGTCTTTCTCAGTGGAGTTAGGGCAAGTAATGTTTCCAGAATCTGGCACAAGAGCAGCTGGTGCTTCTGCTTTAGTAATAATTTTACCTCTCTTCTTGTCACTCCTACCCCTGTGGCTTTATTACTTAATCATGCAAAATTATTTTGTGTTTGACTCTTGAAGTGCCAAACTGCAAGCATCTTTTTCTTTTTTCCCCTTTCCTTTTCTTATTTTATTTGATTTTTTATTATTTTTTAATTTATATCAATGTAAAGAACTGCAATTAAAAAAAAATAGTTCCAATAAAGACTGGAGTCCTGTATTTTCAGCTGTGATTAATGATGAGGGGGAAGCAGGGGAATCTGTGTTGACTTCCGAATGTGAAAGCGGCTTGAAGAGGGAAATAAGCCCCTTCTAAGCTGTTGTATGTTTAGTCCCCCAAAATGCACTTCCCAGCATCATTAGGTCCTTGAGAAAATAAGTCTTTATTACAGAAAAGGTGACAGTGGATGTGGTTTTAAGAGCAGTGCTGTTGAGTCACAGTCCCAGCAACTGAATTTGTTATAGAGAGGCTCCTGAAGTGATGACCAGCATTTGACACAAAAGCTAGTCCTAAAGAGTTTCAGAGACCCCATGGGAGAGAGCCTGTCTGGGTTCTCCAGTGGGAACACTGAAGGAAGCAGAAGGAGGGGAAAAGTAGTATCCTGGATGGCAAGAATAGAGAGAATGAGTAGCCAAGTGGGTTCTAGCTGAGCCTCTACAAAATTCTTCCTGTAAAAGTGTCTTGAGAGTGACATTTTCAGAAGCTTTTTCAATTTTAGTTTGGATGTAGGATTTTGTGGAAAATTTTAATTAATAACAAGCCAGAGGTGTCTGAGCACTGATATGCAACACTGTGTGTGTAAGGCCAAACCTGTAGTTACTGTTGAGCCAATGAAAAAGAGAAAGAATTTTGTCCTACTGAGAGTTACAGTGCTTGATCCATAGTGTTGAAATAGAAAGAATTGCAAAAACCATTTGCATTGCCCCTTAAAATTCATCAGATTTAAACAAGGATTTAACTCGTTGTTTCCAGGAGACGCTTAAAAGCAAATTAAAAATAAAAGCTTACACTGTGGTTTTAAGAGATTGTTTCCCTGAATGTTTTTAACTTCAGGGTATATTACTGACTTTCCTTCTTGTAATATTTATTTGAATGCTGATTGTGAGTTATCAGCAAGTTTCACTCAGATATGATAATGTGTATTTATGAACAGATTCAGGTGCAGGTGCAATGATCCATGATGTGGGCTTGCAGAAGCAGCTATTTGTAGTTGTCCACTCTCTTGATAAAATATTTTGATATTTGAGCAAAGTTTAAAGTAGTAAAAAGTTTGTTTAAAGCTTTGTCAATAAGCTACACTATTTGAATAAGACATCTGTCATTTTTTCTACATTTCGTTAGGTTATTTTTGCTTTTTGTATGAAACTATCTTTTGAGAGGAGATCTCCAAAACACTTCTGCTTAGTCTCGTTTGTCAGATTACAAAATGTGAGGGTAACATTTGTGTAGTATTCTGACTACCATCAAGGCAGTGTGTCTATATGGTAAGGGGAGGATTTGACTCACCTGATTTTAAAAACAGTTTGGACATAGACCTATAAGCTTTGGCTGTAAAGGGGTCAGCTCAACTGCAGATACCCCCACTGAGGACATCTCAGGGCAAGCAAGTGCAAAACTTTAGCTTGCCATGACCAGCTGCATTGGACACTAGCATGATGAAAGTAAGTCTATATAGAATCTTCAGTTTTAGCTCAAAATAAATGAAAAAATACATTTTAAATTTTGGGCTTTGCTCTGATACATTTAATCTATAGTACTGTCAAAGAATTCTTGCTTGATTTGATCATATTTGTGTTTTTAATAAATTCTGCCTAAAATGGTTTATTTTCCCCTATAAATTAAGTTATAGACCTTCAACATTATTTCACTATGGCTTTCTCTGAAAGAGCTTTCTTACAAGCATGTGGGCTTATGAGCAAATCACCACACATAAACTGAGGTGTGAGCTTAGTACACATCACCTGCTGTGCAGTAACTACTCTTTCTCCCAGGATAAGTACCCAGTAGTTTATTCCCTTTTCTTAAGGGATAAGCATGTTGTGTTTACTCTGGGGTAGGAGTGAACACCTGCACTGACATACTGCAAATACACCCCCTGATTTTTCCTGCAGCAATTTGTCTATATGATCATCTCCTCAGAGATGAAATGTTGCTTTTCGACACTCAGGTGAGGCTTAACCAGTTTAAACAGTAACAGAACCTATATTTTAGGTTTAACTAACACTGCTATTGCACCCTGATTATTTGGTTTTTTACTGTTAGTTACAAGCATTTTGATTACTTAGTTGTTCCTCTCACATATTCTCACTCGACTCTTCTCTGGTTGCAATTACATGTCCCTCATAACTTTTTTTTTTCCTTCTTAAATATATTATCCCAGAGGTATTACTGTCAATCCTGATGGGCTCAGCCTTGGCCAGCAGTGGGTCCGTCCTGGAGCCAGCTGGCATTGGCTCTGTCAGACATGGGGGAAGCTTCCAGCAACTTCTCAGAGTAGCCCCTCCTGTAGCCCCCCCCCCCGCTACCAAAACCTGGCCACGCAAACCCAATACAAACCTGCAGTATTGTCTGGCAAAGAATAATTTTATTTTGTTTCACCCTGCTGAACTCTACCTCAATCTTGGATGAGTGATTTATCTCCTGAGGGTCCACACTGGGCTTAGATAAGATTTTGATTAATTTTTTCTGTTATTTCAGGCAAGCCCTTTTGATTTCTACTTTCTGACCATAGAGAAATGATCCATCATTTCGGAAATGGACCCTTAGAAAGAGTGTAGAAGAAAATCCGATAATGTAGTCTTTGAGGTTCAAATGCAAAAATCAAGAAGAAGACCATTAGAACTGTGAGATTCTTTCTAAAATGAAATCCTTCCAGTCCCTGGTAGGTTTCTGTTGTCCTGAGAAGAGCTAAAGCCTTTCCTGCTCCGAGCCTTTGCCCTGATCTAGTGAGTAATGACTGCTCCAGTGCATAGATAGGTGAAGTTTCTACCTGCAACTAGGGATCATATTCCTGTCCAACTAGGAATGGCTCTTGTTCACACTGTAGGTTATAGTTGGTCACACCTTGGGCTTTGCTAATGGCTGGAGACAGGGTGAACTGGATGTTTACTGTCAGGGTAGAGAACACTCATATTTTCTAGCAATTCACCAGGATTAGCATCTTCAGTACATCATCCATCTAAACCCACATAAAAACACTGCTGTTTCTTTTGCTGCCTCCTCCATTTGTTAGTTGTGTGACTAGTGATTTTGTGTTACCAAATATTTCTTTAGTGAAGAAAACCACTTGGAACTCCATCTTTTTATTGTTTAGACTCTTGTTACAAGTAACTTTTAGCATTCCTCTGTTAAGGCTTAAAGGTATGTTTAGTCCAGTTTAGTAACCATACATCTGAAAAAGAAGCACTTTTCATTAAGAATAATGTGAAAATGCTTATTGAAAGTTAGGTTTTAATGACATTACATTGAAGTTCCTATTTGCATAGATTTTGAAAGTGCATCACATCCAGTATTGAACTGGGCTTCTCATTATTTGATGCTGCAGGAAGAGAAACAGTAAGATTAACATGACTAAGTGTCTTTGTAAGAAATGTTGTATTACTATATGGGGATTTGTATTATTCAATATCCAAATGCCATTCACTTTAGTGTAACAGACACTACAGAAAGGACCTTACACAGAGAACTGCATGCAACTCTAGGTTGCCAATAACTTTTTGATGTACAGCCCAAATAAAAGAAAAGCAGTTTGTTTGTCTGTCTCTTTAGGGTTAATTTAAATTCAGTTTTACCGTGAGACTGTGTATTGTTACCAGGAGCACACGTGTTTTGAAATGTAATTACTGGTCATACCTAATAACTGATTTTTAGTTCAATCATTTTAAGAAATGAAAAGACCACCTACTTACTATCACCATTTTTAAATCCAGTAATGTTATAAAATACAGACTATCTTTTTTTGTTATTAAAGTAAATAATTAAGGACATTTTTTTAGGATGCAAATTCTATGAAAATGTTTTAAAATGTTGCAGTACCATGTGTATGACAAATAAGGAAACTAATAACTATTTAGGTTGAAAGAACTTTAGTAAGTGAGAAAATGAAACCTATTGAATATACTCTAAATGAAGCAACCTTTTGAAAGGCCTATTTTTGAATAAACAAGCATGAAAATTCACCTAAGGCATAATACTTTACGTACTGAGAGTTAAAAAGCAGACCTTCTCATATGCCTGATAAAATGGTTTCAATTTTTTTCTTTGTTAAATCTGTTGAATGTTTTTTTGTAATTTGGCAGAGCTGCACCCTGAAATAGCTTCGTCTTCAAAACCAGAAGAAAGTTTCTATGCGGACAGTTACAATCCCTTCAAGGATGAAGATGCCCCAGACTACTTAAACCCATTTGATGAGCCAGATCACGTGTCTGAAGCACTTGGAAGTGCAAGAGATTCTCCTCCACAACCTGCAAAAAGGAAAAACGTCAGGCCAGTGGATATGAGCAAATACCTCTATGCAGATACCTCTAAAGCCGAAGAGGAAGAGCTAGATGAGTAAGTATGATTCTTCATCTTTCAGCAGCTTTGGAAGCATTAGTGGGATCCCTGGCTTAATCTTGAGGTGTATTGGGTTGAACCATGGTGATCCTTAATCACTTCCTTAGGACAGACTGATCCTTAGGCAGCTCAGCAGCGGAAAATACCATACCCCCAAGTCATGTTATTCAGCTGAACATGATCAGTTAAGAAACTCTTCTGTGCCTTATTGATAGCAAACTACTTGAGAGGGAACAAGTCTGTGTACCTTTCTGGCACTTCATGCCCTGACAATTGCCAATGAGCCAAAAATTGAGGAGCAGAAGAGCTTGATCCTTCCTCTTCTTTTCACCATTATTTTTCCTACATAAAATAATAATTTTTATTAACCATAATGGAGAGTTTGTTTCATCTTGGTGCAGTATGTAAAAAGGAAGAGCATTTTGCAATCTGCCTAGCACATTTTTGAGAGTCCCATAAATTTAATCTTTATATGAGAAAGTTAGCACCATATATACTTACTTAGGTTGTTCCTTTTATCATGACCACCCAGAAAACTTTTATAAACACACACTGACTGCCTTGTATTACAGTATAGAAACTAACAGGGAGTGAAAGTTTTCTGCAATTGCTGCACAGCTCGGGAGGTTGGAAGGTGTATCCTTGCTCCTTGTTTGTGGTCATTAGTCACCAACCACACCACTCAGGAGACAGTTTATGGTGATTACATGCAAGCGATTTTACAGACAACAATTCTAATTAACATTTAATTTTACGTTATTTATTGAGATTTATCATGGCATGACATTTGCATTACTTTTAATATTAGCACAGGTATTCATTGTATCATCATCTTTCTGTTTCTCTGTTTATAGCTGTGTTCTAGGGAATTGAAGAATTCCCTGTGCACTCTTAATAGAAACACATAAAGGATTCAACAGGGTTTTTTTCCTTTTAAAGCTCTGTGGCCGTGGATTTGATGTTGTTGTTTAGTCTGTGAAGAATAAAATAAATAATAAAGGATGTTGGGGATGATGCCTCTTCGAGCTCCATTTATCAGGGCAGTGTCAGAACAAAAAGCACTGGCTGCTGTGTCTTCAGAGTGCAGTGTGATCACCCTGATGGTCACACCAGACATTGTTGGTCATTCTGTGGTCACCAGAATCTGCAGGGAGAAAAAAAAAGTATACTTTACACCCACTAAGATGTAGGTATAGAGGACAGCAAAGATTGAGACAAGCAGAAAAAGAAAAAGCTTCATTGATGAGCAAGTGAAGAATTTTCTCTGTTTTATATTTTTTCTCTGTTTTATATTTTTTTTAACCAAAGATAAAAATAAACTCCCCATAGGTGGAATCTACTGGAACATAAAGCTGGGTTGTGTTTTCATTATAAAGCAACGTCCCCTGGGAAGATGGAAGAATAAGCAGTCAATAAAAATTGTAAAAACAGTTTTTTACATCTTTCACATAAGTTTTTTATGTCCTGACCACCAAAGTAACCTTCCTCTCCACATTTTTCCCCCAAGCTGTAGAAGCAACATGTCATAGAAAAAGACCTGGAAACCATATGTTGAATGTATTGGATAGGAGCGTGGTAAGGGAAACCTTTGAATTTTTATACTGAATGCTCTGGAGGAATGAATATAATGATAAAAGTCCAGTCAAGGAACACAGGACACGTGGTATTAACTCACACCTACAAACACTATTTCACCTTACTTCATGTCATTAATTTTCGAATCTTTAAGCAGAAAGTTTCTGCTAAGATATGGTATGGTGAGCACCAAAGGAAAAATTTTCTTGGCATTGCCACTTGGTAGTTTTTGCATGCCCTAAATCATGAAGGCTTATGTCCAGATGTGTATTGATTTTTATCTACTGTGAATATTGATGCTTTTATTATTTACCTAAGTGGGTAATCTTCTTCCAAAGCTATTAAAGTCTAGCCTTCAGTGTCAATTTGTGGCAGAGAGTTCCACAAAAAAACCAAGATCTTAAATGAAATGTGTTTCCTTTGTTGATTGTAAATAAATTACCTTTCGAATCCCATCCTATCTCTTCTGCTGGCTTATCAAAACAACAATTAGTAGTGTTGGATTTACCTGCTGTAAACAGTTGTTGTCTCGTCTATCTCTAGCTTGTTCACCATTACTTATCTCTTGTCTGAGTTAACTTTTTCAATCTCTCTTCATACAGAAGTCTCTTCATCTCTCTAATCATTTCCACTGCACGTCTCTGGACCCTGTTATTTCTCCTGCTGTATGTCTATTTTAAGATGTGTTGACTTGGCCTGAGCAGTGTAATCAAGACAAGGCTGAACAACTGAGTCATATCATGACATTAGACAACTTTGCATATTATTTTCAACCTCTCTCCTAATGTCTTGTCTTTTGACTTTTTAAAATTTCGTTTCATTTTGTTTCACTGGTCAAGTGCTTTCCCCAGGTGTCGTTTTGAACCTGATAGGTGGAATTCATGAGAAATGGAAGGCTCCTGAAAGATATTTGCTGTCACTCAGGAACTACAATGTATTTTTATCCCTATGTCTTAAATGTTTAATTGGAGTTCATTTAATGTACTGCTTGGCATTTTCCTCTTATATTTTGCGTGAAATGCAGTGATATATCCTGGGAACATGGACACATCAGTTAACATCTGGACCCTTGTCCCACTCTGCTCCGGCAGATCCCTAGTTCTGATTCTGGACTTGGAGCTTACACAAAGTGCCCCAAGAGCTGAACTCTGATGCTAGTTTTGTAACAGACTCTCATTGTAATCTTGTAAAAGGTACTTAGCCTCACTGTGCCTCTGTGAAGGATTTACCTTGGGTAATTTGCTTCATTGAAACATATTTCACTAATGGTTGTGAAGATAAATAATATTTCATAACACATGCAAAGCATAGTCACAAGCATAAGCATCATGAGGCATTGCATGGTATTGAAGGACTTAGATGAACCAGTACATTTATTTATTCTGCTGTAAAACTATGCTCTCAAAACATACTTCCTCTGACTAGATTGAGATCTCTACCTAGGTAGAGATAAGGAACACATTTGCCTTTCATTAGTTTGGACATTTGAATGGTAGTGGAAAATCCTGCTTTTGCCTTTTTGAATTTTATACATTAAAATCAAAATGGTGGGTGGCAACCTGTTAATGAAGGACAGCACACCTTGTGAAATTAAATTCAATTATTTGAAAATAGCACAGCTCACAACTACTTAATGTATAATGCCTTCAACCTTAGTACTTCTGATTGGCAGTGTTGCCTGATCTTTTAACCCTGCCATGCTGACAGCTTTGGGTTTCCTTCTCAATAAAATGTTGATTTTTTTTTCCAGTTTACTGGTAACGCTGATCCAAATAACTTTTAAATTGGTCAGAATAAAACTTGCTTTCCAATATCATTTGGCTCTGTGGCTTCTTATCTCGTTAATCATTGTATGGCTTAGAATTATGCTGTCTAATTGGCAAGACTATCGAGTTGCCATCTACTGAAGCTGCCTGTTGCACAAGAAGCCACAAGCCACGTTGTCAGTGATATTTTAATGCCAGGTCGTTTGTCACGTCTGGGATTTTTTGATTTTTGTGGTGGACAGTCTAGTATCTCTTCAGACAAATCATACTATGTGGGTCAATTAAATAACTTCACCAAAGCAAAAAAGTAGGGGTCTGATCTCAGAGAAAAGTGCTTTCATATTTTCCAGCTAAGGCTTTTTTCAGCCAGGCTTTTCATGGCCTTAATTTCTTGTATAGCCGTGTGGAAGCCGTTGGACCAAACTCTGCGACATATATCAGACTTCCATGGTTTCAAACTTCACAGCCTCTTCAGGAAAGAAACATTTTGGTGGTTTTTTTCTGTATTAAAATGAATTTATCAAAAATCTGTCTCAGTATTTGTAAGAAGAATTAAAAGCAGTGCAGGGGGAAGGTAGAAAGTAGCACGTGTGTGTGTCTGTTCTGTGCATGTATGTGTCTGTTTCTGTGACTAAAATGTGAGGGTTTATCTGGCTTTCAGGCAAGTTCTTCTCTAGAAAAAAAAGGGGCAGCGACTTGTCTCCTTTTAGCACTTCCTTCTAGTTCAGACAGAGGGTACAGTTCTTCAGGTTGATGCATGCAGTGCAACCAGTTCTGGAGCACAAAAATTAAAAAAATAGTTCTTGTTTGCTCTCATCCATAAGGGGTTTTTTTCACACCAAAATAATTTTAACACCTTAAAAATACACCTTTCTAATTCAGAGTACACAGAGGTGAATTCCTGCCAAACATGCTGTGCCTGTTGGCTGTTCTGAAGGCAGACTTGTTGAACTAAATCAAACCTTGTGCTGTCCCATAGAATGCATTGTTCTTCAGCCTTTATCTCTTTTATCTTCATTTTCACCTCCCTTTGAACTCTCTGGTGTCTAAAGGCAGCTGAGCTGGGCTGTCAGCTAAATTAGAGCTACTGACAGCTGGATGCATTCTCTACTCCAGCCTGAATACCTTCCTTTTCCTACTGTCTCCAAACACCAATCTGTTCCCATTACCTTGTTATTTTGGTGTTGCCTTTAGTTTTGATTGCACTGGTGGCTTTGCTGCTTGATGGGCAGCAAAGTGGGAACACCTGAAAGTTGCCTTCAGTCAACAGATGAGTTATTTTAGTGTTAGTCTTTCCTTTTGCTTCAGGATCTGGATATCTTTTTCTATAAGGAGCAGATTCTTAGAAAGGTCTGGAGGTTTTATGCCTGATTTTCATTTATCTGCTTTGGAAAACTTTGCCTTTTAGAAGCAGACTTATTTTCTTTGGTGTGGATTACTAATTGCTTCCTTTTTCTCAGTGAAATGAGTAAACTGCATTAAAATAAATTCTAAAATCAGTCTATGAGACTGAAAGACATTTTCATACTAAAATTACAAACAAATGAGAGAAATTTCATGTTGTGTGAAGGGCAACTGGATGAATAGTTGGTTTTTCACTTGTCCCCAAATTCTGCTGTTTTAGTTCTTTAAAAACAGCGTGTACTAGTTCATAACTCTTATCCCTAGAGGGAATTTTTAAGTGCATCTAGCTAGGTAGGCTCTTGTCTGATGCTGCATGCATTAGTTTCCATCTAGAGTGGAATTCTAAGGGACTTCAAGAGACTGAGGTTATTTTCCGTGGTTAGTTACGGTGTATACAGTAACTGTATGTAGATAGATTGTTGGGAATCACTCTGACTTAGTTACGTAAACATAGTTTGAGATATATGATAAATATATCTTGCAGGGGAAATATGGGCTAGAAAGGAATTAATTAGTTTATCCATTTCATAACTCACCATCCAGTTTTGGATTGCAAAATGTGAAAAGCAAATATTATTAGTGGAATAATTCAGTGCAAAGAAGGTTCCCATAAGTATCCTTACCAGAATACAAAATTGCTGGCTCCTTTAAGTGTGTAGAAAAACCCATTATTGTTGTATTATTGATTGATATTTGATGTATCAAACTAATATAAAATATGGCAATGCTGTGGAACAAATGCAGAGTTGGAACATGAATGCTAGAGTTAAGAATAATTCTTTGGACTGTATCTACTTGTTTCTTAAGTGAGGTTTAGTTATAAAAAGCACTTTCAAAATAGACAAATGATAGCTACTGGTATCTGCAGAGAGAGATATACAAGTCAGCTGTGGCTCTTCTTACACTGTTGACTTGTCCAAAGAGTGTTCTTGAAATGGTGTGGTGCCTTTATGCTACAGAGTTTGAAATATCTCGTGTGGATTGTATATCTAATGGAGGCCAACATTTTCAGGCTTGGACAGCCAAGAGTGAGGAAGTGGAAGCATGACTGTACCAGTGACCTTATTCTTAACTCTGTTATAATGAAGCTTTCTTAATTCTGTTCATTATGAGTGTTGAACAGCCAGCAATTTCACTCAAATTTGTTGGTATTGATCTTGTAGAATCAGATCATTCTTTGATAGATGGTGAAGTATAATTGAAGAGTTAGCTTTATGCAAGTGGTAAAACGTCTGCAATTTACAGGACTTTATAAAATTTATGGAAATTATGACAATGAAGTTTTAACTGTTGTAACTCACTTTTCAGTTGTATGAAACAGTATCTAAAAGCATCTAAAGGTAAAACATATTCTTACATGGTATAATAAAAACATTTTGGTCATTGGCTTTTCTAAACAGGTCTTATTTTTGATTTAATTTCCAAGGAGATAGCAAAGAAATGTGTTTCCCTTCTTTTAATTAGATCAAATCCATTTTATGAACCAAAACCAAGCCCTGCTTTAATTAAAGTTGCTCTGCTGCAAGAACCAGAAAAGAAGATGAAAAGAAAGGCTCCTGAACCCCCAAACCTCTTGCCAAAGACAGAGATGGGCATGGGTGACAACGTGTCAGCTATTCCTGCATCAAGGGAGCTTTCCTCCTCTCCTAAGGTAAGCTTTGCATTCCAAAATTTCTTTTTTCTTAACAGTGCCTTTCTGTGTATTGTAAACATCCTATTTATTTCTGCAGGCCATCTTAAAAGCTTTGCTTGCACTTAATAAGGTGTTGGCTCGTCTCTATTCACTTGGTTCATGGGGAGGGAGCAGCAGTAGGAGCTTGTATTTTTTCTTTAAGGATTTAATGACAACAGTAACAGCAACTGCAGTTTCAAAGAAAAGAGCCTTCTAGTAACCAGTGTTACAGGCCAGCTGGATATGCCATCGAGAAGGAAGAAAATCACATTGAACAGTGCTTTGTCCTGATCTATTTTAATGCTGCTAAGCCTTGCCCCTGTTGAAGAGTCTGTCTCCACATTTCTGTCATAAATCTGGGTTTTAAGAGCTTAGTACTGGATACTGTTTATTTGTATTGGGATTTATATGTGTCCAATTCCATAGCTATGTTGAAGTAATTTAAAAAAAAAAAAAAAGACAGTCTACTTTAATTCAGATTAACTGTTTATTACAAATGCTTCGACTAAGAATACTTAGATATGCACATCCATCTCTGTTTGTCAAGGGAAAATCTGAGTTAATTTCAGTTGAAGAGGGCAATGTGAGGCATGGATATTTTATTACTACAACAGCTAACTTCTATCAGTGTGGATTTCAACTCCAGTGTTTCAGCAGTTTGCACCACTTGTGCTTTTTTTTTTAAACAAAATAAACGTTTAATAGTGTAAGTTAATGGACCTTCCTTAGAAATGAATGTCACATATGCTGCCTGCTTGTTTTAAAGGTAGGAAGATGAGGACAGAAGGCTTTCTTCACAGCATATCTTGCCCAGTGTATGCATATTATCATCTGATTTGCCTTGTATTGGAGCCACTCTTGTTTAATTTAAGAATTGAGTGAAACTACTTGTCATATATATAATTTCACTGTGTAATTACTCAGCCAGATTGTGCACATGTCCTTGTCCACTCAGGCTCTGATCTTGTTGTCGTTTTACCACTCACTCAGGCTAAAGATTATGAGACCAGAAATCTAATCTGTGTCTGCTCATTGCAAAACAAAACAGTAGGGAAGACTACAACTATACTTCACAAGTTATTCTTAATATGCAAAACCACAACCAGGGATATATGAAATCAAAGCATAGCAGTTTTATAATGCTCTGAAATGGGATTCAGTCCTGTTTGCTGAATGAAAAATATGGCACATTGTTTGATTTCTGGTGGAGACTGGCCCTTGTGTCAAAGCAAAATGGCCAAAGAAAAGGTTTCTGGTACTACCAGGCTGTGCAAAGGCATCTGTGGAGATTTTCATCAGGTTGCTTGATGGAAGTTGTGCTCAAATTGCTCATTGAGAGGTGTTTTTTACAGATCTACATCCAAGGAAATATGTCTGTCTGCTTCATTCATGTCTTTTTTGTGCTGAAATAACACGTTACTGCTGAGTTTGGTTGTTGTAGTTTTTGTAGGGCTGTGAGGGAAGGTGGAGCTCTATGCTGACATTATCTTTTATAGGAAAGCTTTAATTTTTTTTTTTCAACAGGATTTTGGAGGATATGAGACATTAGGGAGGTCTCCCAAGCAGGTGCAGTGTCCTGGTTTACTGTATTGCCACTACAGTGGAAAATTTTGCTGACTGGGTATGTTAAAATATTGCACAGTCACTTGCAATGCAGAAAGCTTTTTGTAAGCACAGTCTTTTTTCTGTGCTTTAATTGTTTTGCCCTAAGATCAGAAGCACTTTACTTGGAATGCTTTTTGAAATTTGGAAAAGTACTGGCATTTAAAAGAAAAGAAAATAAAACAGTTTTCTCACACTACAATATAAAATAGTGCCCAAATAGGACTTGGACTGTTGACACATATAACTTGTTTATTACTCAATAATAGAAACAATGTTTAGCAACTCAAAGGTATAGGCATTAAACAAACATGAACTTAGCACATGCCCTTATGTAGGGGGAATAGTCCTATAGAAGTAAACTTAGGGAAAGGAAGGTTAAATAACATGTTATTCAGTGTTTTGTCCAAGTTTGCTGGGCACAGAAAGCCTCTGGTACAACTCTGACTAGAAAGTAAATTGTTTCAGCAGGTTCAGTTCCCTGTCTTGGCTGTTGTCATAGGAAATGTCTGTGGAGCAGAAGTGCTAAGCTTTTGACTATACAAACACAGCACTAATATTAGAACTTCAGAGTTGAAGAAAAAATATTCCAAAAGTTCCTCTGCAAATCTTTGACAGAGTATTTGGAGCTCATGTTTCTTTCACATGCTGGTGGCGTTCCTTACATTTGCTGAAGGCAAGAAGTACAAATGCTGTCATTAACATCTATATACCAGCAAGTTCATTAAATGATGAGCAGTCTGTAGTAGCAAAGCCTTTCCAAGTCTCTTTAATGTCTTCCCCTTGAGCAGACTCTTTTGATCACTTGGATGTCCCTGTGTCACCTGTACTGGTGAGGAAGGGTCAGTTATCTGTATAGATAAGGCAAGGTGTTAACTCTCCATGAAGGTCCAGCCAGCTCTCCAGCCCATAGTATTAGCTCAGTATACACGAGTTTAGAGGAAGTTTTGCCTCCAAATTTTATTATCTACTTGCACTTCCTAAAGGGATATCTTTATTCTCTCTTGTCTTCCTTCCATACCTCCTCCAAATAATCTGAGTCATCAGAGAGGTCTTTAAAATGCAAACTCTGAAATCTGGGATTATCCCACAGTTAATCATCTCGAATGACTTGAGAACTGCGGTATATTTTTATGGCTGACTGTATTTGGGTGAGTCTGACAAACTGCAAAGCTGTAATTAAGCTCTTCAGTCATCAAACTGCTACAGTGCTGTCAAGCCCATGTGAAGCCTTGGGCTTGTTGCTGTCATGCATGTGTTAGTGGCCTTTACCTGGTTTGGATAACCAGGTTTTGCCTCTCACAGAGGTGATAGAGATTTTAAATTTCTTCCACTTGTTGACTTTGTGGAAAAAAAATTGAACAAATTTCAGGCTCAAAATGTGGCATCAGACCAGTAAACAGCATGCATATCAGTCATGCATATCAGTGCTTGTCATTGCTTTAGCTGATTACAAAATATGCATATGAACTTCAGCTGGGTGAAATCTCAGCCAGTCTCAGTATCTCTTTTCTTCCTGCATTATGTTGAGTTTATTCAAAATAAGATCAGTTCTGGAGCTGTCAGCTATGTGTCAGGGTAGAGAAGCAAAAGCCATGTGTCTCTGCACAATCAAGGATTTTATTGCATTTGTGAAAATGAGGAGGCAGGAATGCTACCGAATATGTGTGGGAGGTGAAAAATTATTTACTAGGGAACAGGAGGAAACAGATAATCACCCTCAACCATAGAGTTATTTTTAAATGTGAAAAGAAAATAGTTCCTGCGCTAGATTGACATTACTCATTCACTCTTTGGAAGGATAGCATATGCCCTTCCCTTTCAGGAAACAATTCTGAGAAGGGCTTTTCCTGTTATTTGGTATGTTCAGTTTTTTACCAAAGCTCATGTTGATGGCTCATGAATCTATCAGGTTTCTGTAGTGACTGTTATCCTACTGAATGTCAACAGGCATGTTGTGTTTGGTGAATCCAGCTTGGTCTCACATCCTTTCTCCTGTCTTCAAGGTCTGGAAACCTGTGTTCATTAAAGACATGCTTTACAGAGTAACTGCTGCAGGCTGAGTAGCTGCCAGCCTGGGACTTGGGAGCTCACAGAGCTCCTCTACTCACTACTGCCTACTGGGCTACCCAGTATCTCTCAGTAAATGAAACTCCTGCACTCCAGTCCTGGGGATAGATGTTTCTCTGGCAATACATGTGAACAGCCATGGAGTTGATATCAGACCACAGGATGCTTTTTGAACTTTACCTTGAATGGATTTTTAATTATGCCTTGCAACTCATGAAAGTATATAGCACCAGGGCAGGATGATAAATCAGCTTAAGACTATCATTAATGTATACACCATTCTTGCCTTTATGAAGTCATGGTATTGCTGGTAATCATGAAAATATAGGAATTGGTTTTGGCGCTTGTAGACAAGAACTTGTGATGACTTTTTAAGTTGATGGAAAAGGAGAATACACATTCACTTAATAGTCCAAAGCCAATAGTAGTAACATCTCTGTTTTGTCATCATCATTGTTTAAGCTCTCTCTGTCTCTGATTTTAAAACTAATTGTTTTGCATGCCCAGTGATAGTCTGCTCTTTCATGCCAGACAAGCTAGCTGATTTAAGCTCTAATGAAACATTTATAGGAAATGTAATAAGAAACACGGAATCCTTTTTCTGCATGACATGTAATAACCCATCTCCATCCAGTATCCTTTGTAATCCGTTGTGTATCTGCAACGTTTCTGTTCAGGCTGTTCAGAAAGATTTATGCCTGATAGACAGTTTGTCCTTCAAACAGCAAATGAGGTACAAATTACTTTATGAAAGAAGAGAAGTTCTCAGACACTTCTCAAGGGAATGAGAAAAAACATGTAATTTTTAATTTTTTTTTCTCTTTCTTATTTATTCTAACTCAGAATAAATGCTTAGCGATAAAGTGCGAAACACTCAGATAGGTTTAGTGGAAAGGGTAACGTTCCATATAGCACTAGGCACTGCTCTCCAAGATTTCAGGGATCTCATAGGCTCCATTTACTCCTTTTCTCCACTTTTATTTACCTCAGCATTATCAACCTCATGTGACCAAACAGTAGGAAGACTTCATCTTAAAACACAGGTGCAGTAATGCAATTAAGTGGAGAAACGACATTAAACTCCAAATGGGAGATGGAGATCACTCACTCTCTTGGTATCAGAAGTACCTCCAGTTGTTCATTCACATAAGGGTTTCCTGGCTCTGTGGAACATCTTTAGTGATTTTGCTCCTTCTCAGCTTCACATTCACTGCAAAAGGAGTTGTGCAGCTCATTTGCATGAGATCATTGTCACTCCCTATGCAGACAAATAGTTCATCAAGCCCAAGGAAGACTTGGGAGGTACT